TGACGAGTGACGAGGGGAGCTTGGGGAGTCAGGTGCCTGCTACGCTCTTTCCTCCTCCTCGGGGTCCGAGACTCGAGCACCCAGGCTGCCCTGGGGTCCGCACCGAGAGGATGAAAAGGGGACGGGCGGCTGTGGAGGGTGCAGACGCGGCTCCAGACTGGGCTTCCTCTGCGGCGGCCCCAACCGTAAAGCCTGCGCCCGCGCCACTGACGAGGGGAGCTTGGGGAGTCAGGTGCCTGCTACGCTCTTTCCTCCTCCTCGGGGTCCGAGACTCGAGCACCCAGGCTGCCCTGGGGTCCGCACCGAGAGGATGAAAAGGGGACGGGCGGCTGTGGAGGGTGCAGACGCGGCTCCAGACTGGGCTTCCTCTGCGGCGGCCCCAACCGTAAAGCCTGCGCCCGCGCCACTCCCCGTTAGCTTGCAGCGCCAAAGGGGGATGGCGGGTCCCGGCCGGAGCTACAGCTCTGTCCACAGCCGGAGGGGGCGGGAGCGGCGCCCCGAGGGACCCGGCTGCTACCTCGCAGAGGGCCGGAAGTTCCGATGCGACATGCGCGGGGAGCCTCAACCCCCCACCCCTAGGCCACCTGCTGGAGGGCTCAGCCCCGGGGACTTGGTGGCCAAGTCGCCCGCAGCCTGCGCTGGGCCACTGAAGGTCAAATCCTGGGAGAGGCGGAAACTTGTGGGTCTTGGGAGGGTAGGTGAGGCCCGGACCTGGGTTGGGCAAACTCTAAAATGCTAACAGATGTAACCCTTCGGGGCCTAAGAACTTGGTGAGGAAAATTGCCTCTCCCTATTTAGCCTTTGAACAAGCCGCGCTTTCCTAAGCAGTCAGATCCTCAACTTCTTCCCCTCCCTCCTGCGGCCAGGCCTAGTAAATACGGGGATTACAGGTTGCTATTTTGTGAGGCACTTCCTCTTAAGGGCTGTGTTTGAGATTGCTTCATTTTGCCACTGGCTTGGGAAATTCTTCCCAACAACCAGAAGTTGCTCTGGTTCCCCAGAGAAACCAGCGTAGATGTAGTCAAAAAATAACAGTAAAAGAGGCCTGGAGTGTAGCTCAGCTCTGGAGCACTTACCTGTCATGCACAGTCCCAGGTTCCATCCACAGCACCACAAAGGGAAGCAAAAGAACAGAAGAAACAGGGGCAGCGGGTTGCACTTGTGCAATCCTAGCCCTCAGTGAAAACCGCTAATACCACAATTGCCTCCTCACTTGGGTATTAATGCTGCTCTGAAAGATAACGGTAGTCTTAAACCATCATGTTGCAAAACGTGAACAAGGTTCAGAGAAAAACAATGTTGGCTTAAAATATAGCAGCATGTGCCAGGTGTGGTGGTGCACAGCTGTAATGCCAGCACTCTTGGGAGGCTGAGGCAGGAGGATTGCAAGTTAAAGCCCAGCCTCAGCAACATTGAAATTAAGATCTTGTCTCAAAAAGGTTGCAAAAAGATAAAGGGCTGGAGGTGCAGCTCAGCGCAAAGGTACTGGATGCAAACCCCCATACTGCAAAATAAATGACAGCACAGTGCAATCCTAGGCCTCTAGGCCAGTGATGGTGGGCTTCCCACCTCCTGCTGATGCTGCACCAGCAGCAGTGAGTCCTAAGATTCAGTTCCTTGGTAGGTTGCCAGCAGAGCTCCTTGCGGCAAGGACCTCACCATGCTGCCACCATATGTGTGGTGACATCCATGTGTACCCACTCGGCCCTCAGGGCTGTCTACCAAGAGTAGTAGGTCCATGCTGGGCTCCTGTCCCGGAGGGGACACTTATGGCCCTGCGCTGGGACTGTTATGTTCCAGGCTGCTCTGGGAAACTGCAAAAATCAGATGGGTCCTCATCTGTGAGGAAGCACAGAAAACCCAAAAGGGTGGGTCTCAGACAGGAGGATTGTGTTATGGGAACTCTTGCCCAGGGAGTGTCTGGAGCCCCAGGAAGCACTCAGGAAGTGGAAGGGCCTGAATGGAGCCGCAGCCAGCTCCTGTGCTCAGCCATTGTCACCGGGCTGCAGACCTGGCCACCTGTGCCGGAGCTTCTAGGCTGCTCGTGCATGGAGCCAGCCGGTGCTAGACAGCAGCAAGCACGAGCCTCACCCAGGCCCCAGCTCATCTCAGCTGGCTGCATGGGGCCCCTACAGACACCAGCACCTAACAGGATGCACACATTTGTCTTCCTGGGCTGACCCAAGCTGGTATAAGAGCAAAGCAGAAAAGGGCCGGCAAGCTCACTCACCCTGGGGTACTTCCTGCTGCTCAGGTGGGACCTCAGTGCTGACCCTCTGGTGTCTCTTTAAGCTTGTGCTGTGAAATGATTAGTGTTGGTTTCCTTAGCTGCTGTAACAGATTAGCAACTTGAAAGCCGTGGGGCCATCACAGGTACTGTCCAGCTCTGGAGGCCATGTTAGGCTTAGATCTGGGCCCCCAGTCTCCTGTGTTTGGAGGGAAGGTGACTGGATCATGAGGCGCCGTACTCCTCTGGATTCTCTGTGGACGAGCTCATGCATATCTGAAGGTGCTGTTAAGAGGTGGGGCCTGGAGGTACATCCTTGTCCCCAGCTCCTCCCTTCTTTCTATCTGCGTCCTGCTGCCACAGGGTGAGCAGTGTTCCTCCACCAGGCCCTTCTGCTATATTTGTCTTAGAATCAGCTGACCATGGACTGAGTCCCCCAAAACTGTGAGCCAAATCAAACTCCTGTGAACTGCAAGTGTCAGGCATTTTGTCCCAGCAACAGGAAAGCTACTACGGGAAACTGGTACCACAGAAGGGCGACTGCAGGGGCTGTGTTAGCAGCTCTTAGGTTCGTGTGTACAAAAGCTGTTCTGCTTGACATTGGCAAATCACAGGGGGCCCACCTGTGCAGGGTGACGTGGAGCCCGAGGCAAATGGGCTCTCCACCTCTTCAGACAGACCTAGCCTTGAATAATCCTTTTCCTTTTTACCCAAGTACATGGGTGTACAGATTTCTGTGGCTCTAGGATGTGCAAGGTCCTGGAATGCAGCTGCCAGATGGTTTGGGGAGTGATCAGGCGCCTGGCAGAGGGGCTGTGGTGCTTTGCACCCCATATGCAACGAGGGAGGCAGCCACAAAGGCATGTGGCCTGCCCCCTGCTGCACACTTTGCAGGAGGCAGTGGTACCCGTGCCTGGAAATGGAAGCTGAGCCCACAGCTGGCCCAGGCCCGACTGGTCCTCCAGTGAGTGGCAGTGAAGAGGTATCCACTGTGAGGGCTGGGTCCTGAGCCCGAGTGGGTGCCTGGGAAGTGGGTCCTGGACTCCAGGGGCTGGGCTGGGGCAGGGAGGCCCCCAGGAGCTTCCCAGGGACCACAGTTCCCTGCTTGGAAGGAGGCAGAGGAGATGGCAGAGTGCTGCCCCCAGCGCACGTGACCCTCACAGGAAGCAGGGTCTGTCCCTCAGCCTGGGACCCATGAAGCCTCAAGTCCTCTCCCTGCCCTCTGATCGATCTGGGGGCATGGAGAGCGTCAGGCCCTGTGGCCCCACCTGCCACCGTCCGCCTTCCTCCAGGGTTAGGTCTCGCTGTCCTGCAGTGGTTGGTGCTCAGAGGGGTACCAGGCACTTGTCCAGTTCTCAGTGGTCACGATAGTGGGAGGAGCAATGGTCTCCGTTTATGCAGCTTTGTCACTGCAGCCTCAGGCACTGTCACGCACAGCCAGGAAGTGCACTGACAGGTATCCTCATGTGGTGATGGCCCAGAGTCTCTGGCAACAGCCTGGCAAGCAGCAGATGTGGCATGGGTCTTCCAAGTCCCAACCTCAGCAGCGAGGCTCTGCTAGGTTACTCCAGCTGACCCCAGCACAGCCCTGTGTTTGCTTTCTCTTTCACTGTAAACTGCCTTTCGAAAACCAATAAAAAGTGCTTAGGGCAAAAATCCCTCTGAATATGGTTATTTAATCCTTGCACCTTGGCAAACATCACTGGGTTCCTGTTTTACATCTTTGGATTTTTGCACTATTTAAAGTTATTTGATGAAATTCAAGCAAACAAAGCAGTACAATAAAATCATCCACTCGCACTGGAAAGGTTGAATTTGCTCATGGGACGAAAGCTCCTTGTCACCCCTGGGAACACGTTGCTGTCCCCTACAGCCCCCCTGGTGGCACAGACCTGTCTCTTGGGAACATGTCTGTGAAGCCCTTCAGGAGGGTCCTCTGGACTGCAAGGTGCTGGTTCTGATCAGAAACAGGAAGAGGAGAGGACAGGACTGCTCCACAGGTTCTGCTTGGTCTTAGCTCAAACTTCCTCAAAGAAGTAAGTTCCTCACTCAACAGTGATTCAGCTCACACGCCAGATGTCCTTGGCACCTCTGCCCCTCTGCCAGTGAGCGCCCTGCTTAGCCATGGTAGTTCCTGGCTGGGTTGTCCATGGGCTCCTCGCTCCCAGTCTCATAGCACATTTCCTAGGGAGCATCTGCAAAGATCTATGAGGTTCACACGTGCTTCCAGTCCACCACAGCTCTCTACTGCTCCAAGCACAAATCCAAGAAGTCAGGCTGGCTTTGCAAACCTCAAGCTTTGGCCTCTGCCTGCGGCCCCAGGCTCACGGTGTGTCCTAGGTGAGGGCTCTGATAGTAACCAGGTCCCTCGAGCCAGCCTGGTGCCTCTGATACTCCGAGTGTCCTGGAGAAGGCCAATGTTTCAGGGTTCAGGATTCGTCCAGATTCAGTATAGCCAAATAGGAACACAGAATCAAAAGTCTCCAAACACACCAGAGAGAAAGTATAAGGGAAAGTGCAGAAGAGACAAAAACAAGCCAGGCCATAAGGTTAAGCCATGGGTGAGTGGAAGTCGCAGGAGAACGGAATTGTGTCGAAATGCATCATCAACCCACCCAGGTTCTGCTGGTCTAAGGCCAGGAGGCCTTAACGCTGGTGTGAGGCATTGGACGGACCCCCAGGCACAGTGCTGTCAGGCAGCCAGACCTCCCTGCCCCTCAGGAGGCCACAGGTGGAGGGACAGATGTCAGGTAAGGACTGGGGTCTCCCCAGCTTCACATGCCAAGGCTTTGGCAGGAGCTCCTGCTGCAGGCTCACCCAAGGAAGGTGCTGCTCCAGGGCCCTTTCCTCCCATGGGGTCCCCACTCACCCCTCCTGCCCTGGGCCCTGTGCAAGGAACCCCTGAATCACATGTGCTCAAGGCTGTGCTGGGGCCACCGCCAGACCCAAAGACTTGCTTCCCCATTCACACAACAGTTCGACCGTTTGTTAACTTCCGTGCTGGGTTTGGGACCTAGGGCCAGTCACACACCAGGCCCTGCATTAGCATTCTGATAAAACCAGACACTTTGAGACCCAGTGTTTTTCCTCCAAGTCCTCTGCTAACAGGGCACTGCAGAATGCCTGCCCAGGAAAAAGATCCGGTACTTGGTGTGGACTCTCCTAGTCACGTGTCCTATCAGGAACAGCCTCTGGGGACCCAACTAAGCAGGCCCAGTGCCCGGAAGATGGGGACAACAGCAGCCTCAGCCACTTGCTGCCTTGCACTTTCAGGCTGGAGACGGGCAGAGGTGCCACGCAGAGTCCTGGCAGCACTTCTAGGAACAGCTTCTCAGCCAGGGGCGAGACCCTGTCCGGCCCAGGACACTCCGGCACATCCCGGCTCTGCCTCTCCACTTCCACTCCCTCTCTGGGAAGCTTTCCAACAGAAAGTGGTGCTTGGGCAGCCACAACTCCACAAGACAACCAACACTTCCTTCCGGAGCAGCCTGGCTTTGGACACGAGATTCGACCAGGAGGGGCTGGGCTCACGGGCTAATCCAGGGGTGGGAACCCATATGCACGTGCCACAGCAGGCTGTTCGCACCACTGAAATCTCTGAAAGGTTCGCCATCACTGGCCTAAGGGAAGGATGACCACGAATACCTGGAATTCCTCCCTTGTCCCTCCAGGTCAGAAAACATTACAGCCAGAGAAATTTATTTTAAAATAGAAACATACATACATAAAGCTTTAAAACAATTTTTAAACAAAAAGGAAAAAGCCATTGGATCCCAGAGTCCATTGGAGTGACTTTCCATATGCACTGAAATTCACATAAGGAGCACTTAAAACAACTCGAAATAGAACCCCCACATGCTCCCACCTCCGAGAGCGCCAGTGTCTGGGAGTGCGTGTGGGGTGGGGACACTGGAGGCCAGGCTAGCCACTGGGGCTCCTGCCGAGAGACGCATGGGGTGACCGCCCGCGCCACTGCACCAGACACAGGCTCCCAGGGCAAGGGGGCACCTGCACTCTTGCAGCCTCTCAAAGGCAGAGGTGCTGTGGAGGTACACAGATGTCCAGAGGGATTTGGCAACGCGCAAGGGGTGGCGTCAGGAACTCCCAAAGCTTCCAAAAATACTCGTGACGAGTGGGCCGGGCCTGTAGCGGCCAGCAGTGCTCACTCTGTGTGGGGCTTCCGCGTGGGCTGCTCCTCGTAGGACTCCCCGAACTCGTTCACTCTGCTCTTATCCACAGGATAAAGCCTGTAACACACACGCAATGCTCGCAGAGCCCAGGCACCACAGGGAGGGCGAGAGTGGGCCGCTCCGGGTGGCTGCAGAGAATCAGGGAAGCTCAGCAGGACCCTCTGCGTCAGGGTACGCCCGCCCTCAGGCGCCGCAGCCCCGCGTCTGAGCGTCAGGAAGGGCGCCCGCCGGCCTTTCGGGGTGTGTCCTCCCCACTCGTCCAGCTCCAGGCACCTGTAGGCGGTTGCTCCCTTCACCCAAGACCGCTGCACGCAGGGCCTGACTCACTTCCAGAGCCCTGGGACTACAGGAGAGGCAGGCGGGCCGAGGCTCCTGGGTCAGTCCGGAACGGGGCCCCAGTCAGGGCACTGTGTGGACCAAACACCAGGCGTGGCCTCCCCTCACACGGACATGCTGGCCGTGAGCAGGGCCCTGCTGGAGGCCGTGGGGACAGCTATGGCCCGGAAGCCTGCCAAGAAGCGGCGCTGCCTCGCTCGGTGGGCACACGGTGGTCTCCAGGGTGGCAGGAAGGAGTGGGGAGGAGGAGGGACACAGGTGAAGTTTGGATGCCCAATGACCACCAGAGGGAAGCGACACCCACCTCTGAGACACGGGCCTGTGGTCAGGGCGGGGTGAGGGCAGCAGCGTCATCACGGCTCGGCAGGGTCCCACACCCGGGCAAGCCTGGCCCAGGCACGGCATAGAGCAGGGCTGCATGGGCACCACGGCCGCCCAGACACCAGCCTGGGAGGAGCTGGCAGTGGCGGGACAGAGTAGACAAGGCCCTCTGCAGACCATGACCCTGCCTGCGGGACACGCAGCTCTTGAGGGCCTGGCCTGCACTGCCTGACATTGTGCCGTGACCACTGGTGGGGCAGGGTGTACCCGGGCAGGGATCGCAACACTGACCCACGGAGCCGGGCAGGACTCGGCGCTTCCACACCAGGGTGACACAGCCTGTCACGGGCACTGGAAGCCACTGGAGGCAGCCACTGCCTGTGCAGGACAGCCCAGCAGGGCTCTGCCACTCACCATCGCTGGTACAGGTAGACCAGGAAGACCACATCGTCCCGGAAGCAGGCCAGCCGGTGGGACGTGGGCATGGTGATGATGAAGGCGAACACGTCATCAATGAAGGTGTTGAAGGCCTGCAAAGCCAGCACGAGGCTATGAGATATGCACTGGGCTGCAGGCCTGCTGCTTCTCCAACCCAGGCAGTGCACTGCGTCACAGGAGACACGCGTGTGGTCCTGTCGCGGAGACGCTGACAAGAACAACAAGCCGGGCCTGGGAGGCTGGGGCAGGAGGATCTTAAGTTTGAGCCCAGTCTGAGCACTGAGTGACTCAGTAAAACCCTGTCTCAAAGTAAAAAATAAAAGGGCTGGGGATGTAGCTCAGGGGGAAGGCCCTGGCATCAATCCCTAGTGCCGAGGGGGGAAATGAAACAAAAACGGGAAGCAAGGGGACAAACACCACAGCCAGTGACAGGGGTGGGCTCTCCCCAGCTGGGGCTGCAGCAGAACCGCTTGGAACAGCTACCCTCACTGTGAAAAACGGAAACCATGCTAAGTTCTTGCTCTGTGGAGGCCAGGGCCCTCACAGTTGCACAGGGGCGCAGGGCACTATTGAGGGCCCATGCCCAAGGTCCCAAACCCCAAGTCACTGCGCCAGGGTGGCTGTGCTTTGACAGCATCGCCAAGGAGGACCCTGGCCTTTTACTCAAGCGAATCTCCCTCCAACACGGCAGTGACAGTTACTCTGTGGCCCTCCGTATTTTCTTAAAAGACTTCTTTATATTTTTCAAAAAAAAGAGAACAGGACTGGGCAAGTTCAGAGGCAAACACAGGTAATTCCCGCCACTCAAGAGGCTGAGGCAGGAGGACTCAAAGCTCGAGGCCAGCAAAGGCAACTGAGCAAGACCCCATCTCAAAAAGGGTGGGGGCTGAGAGAGTCCTGGATTCCAACCCCAGAACCAAAACAAAAAGGGAACCAGTAGAATTCAGCTGCGCACTGACCTTGTAGGTGAAAGCCTTCCAGGGCAGGTGTGCCACTGACTTCATCTGTGACAGGGAGAGGGGCTCAGGTCAGTCTGGCAGCCGGAGACAAGGTGCCCTACCCACGCCAGGACTCACGTGGCCTTACCTTGTAGTTCACAAAGAGCTGGGGCAGCATGAAGAGGAAGCCGAAAGCATAGACTCCTGTGGGCACAGATGGCACCGTGGAAGGGCCAGCACAGCAGCCACACCAGACACCTGCTTGTCCTGCTCCACGCAGCCCAGGGAGTGCCTTACAGCACACAATGCAGACTACCCTCGAGGGCCAAGCCATAGCACAGGGCTTTTGGGGGTCTGTGAAGACCTAACCTTCAGAGGCTGGGGCCCAGTCCAGGACTCACTCAGGGTATAGACCTTTGAGGGAGCCCCTTCCCCCCAGAAGGCAGACCGGCCCTTACACTCACGCACACTTCCCTAAGGGGACACGAAGTCACCCTGAGGAGGGCCCTGTGGATGCCTGGTGCCAGGACCGCACACAGGACACTAGTGGGTCTCCCATGGGTCACACAAGGTGGCACGCCTCACTGTCCCTAGGGGTCTGAGTGGCTCTGGGCAACCAGGTGTCGGGATGGTGTCAGAACGCTCACGTCCCGATTCCAGGAGGAGCAGATTGGGTGCCGGCGGCTCCCCGGGCACCAGAGAGCTGAGCAGGGAAGAAGCACCGCATGTGGGGTGGGTCAGGTTCAAAAGGGCAGGGAAGGGAGCACATTCCACACAGGGAACCCAGGACTCACCATTCACGAAGCTGTTGATGAGCCATGAATACCAACTGAAAGGGGAGGGAAGAGTCACGACCCTCGGGAAAGCTCAAGCCATAGGCGGACAGCTGTCACATCACACAGGTAAACGCCACCTCCCATGAGACGCCTCCAAGACACCAAAGCTCTCCAGGACCCTGGGACAAGGCAGGTCTAGGCCCTGTCCCTTCACCCTGTATAACCTTCCTGAGAGCCTGGGCAGGCCAGGATCTGCCCCAAAGCCCAGTCACATAAATGTGGGCTCCTTCAAGATGGCAGAAGGGCACAGCTGCTGCCTGCACACTGCTGTTAACCTTGTACCCCTGCTCCCCGCATCTTACCCAGGGCAGCACCACCTGGCCCTCCTATCCCGACCCAGCCCCTCTGTGAGATCACTGGTGAAGCCCCAAGACACGCAGCCACAGGTCTGTAGCGGCCTTTAGTCTTCCATACTCTGCCGCCTCTGTCTCCCAAAAAGCCAGAGCAGGGCGAGCTGCCTCTCCAGATGACGGGGTGACAGTGCCTCTGCTCTGGAGCCAGCTTAGCCTGAGACTGCTCCTCACGCGCTCTGTCACCTCCACCTCAGAGGTCAGGGAGGACCATGCCCAGCTGCTCACTGGAGCCTGGCTGGCTGAGCCGGAACCCCAACACTGGGTGCCCACACTCAGTTCACCCACAGCTGTGTGCCGGAGCACAGTGAGGACGGGGAGATGCACAGGGCCACCCACCTCTTGTACTTGATGTTGAGGAGCGAGTAGACGGCACCCCCAACACACAGAGGGTACAGAAGGTAGGACAGGTACTTCATGGCCTGTGGGAGAGAGCAAGCCCAGTTAGGCCTCGGCATGAGAACATGACGAACGAGACACAGCGGATGTCAGGAACCCGGCAAAAGGTTCTGTGACAGACACGAGAGCAACAGTGAGGGACAGGCGTCTCTGCAGCAGCCGAGACCACAGACGTGGGCCCCAAAAGTGAGGCTGCCCTGACCCATCACCCAGCCCTGCCAGGAGGCCACAGCCGCCACCCACAGGGATGCAATGTGTGGGAGTCACATCTCCAACCTCTCTCTGAGCTTCTTGGACCTCAGCCTAACCCTAACCTTCTTTCCCATCTAGTAAAAAATGAAATCTAGACAAGTGTCACACCGAAAGCAACATGACTCCTGCGAGAAACCCCATTAACTTGGATACCCACAGCTCCTGCAGACCCTGCCTCCTCTTCAGGGCCACACCTACCACCCGCAACCACAACCCAAAGAGCGGGGATCAGTAACAGCCAGGCAACCTTCCCAGGTATGGGGAACCCAGCCCAGCTGCGCCCCAAGGCTGCGGGCCCTGCTTCCCCATGAGAAACACGTTCTGCATGCTTACCCTAGGGGTCTCTGCCCGAGCCAGCCTGCCGGAGACAATGTCTCAGGCTTACCTGTGTGTCATACTCCTCAGTCTTCCTCTCAGACTCACTGCAAGTGCCGAACTGTCATGAGATCAAACATAACCACGTCAGCTACTGGGAAGGACTCAGCACAGCCAGGCAGCAGCGACGCCTCCCAGGCCCATGGCCAGCACCACAGCAGGTCTCACTGCAGGCTGGGGATCAGCGGGGCATGTGCATGGGGCTGCTCCATAGGGCCCACTGCTGTGTGCCCACACCGTACTTCCAGGCCGCTGGTCTCCCAGGAGCAACACTCATACAGAAGCACTCCTAACCAGCTGGGCATGGTGGCGCATGCCTGTAATCCCTACACTTGGGGAGCTGAGGCAGCAGGGTCGCCAGCCTGAACTACACAGACCGTCTCAAAAAAACAGCAGCCCTCCTGATGGTCTGTGAGCAGCAAAGGCGCAGGAGCCCCAGGGCCAGTGCTACGACACAGTGGCCATCATCCCAGCCTGGGATAGGAGTTGCATGCTGCTGAGGGCAGGATCTCATGAATACACGCCCGTGGACGGAGCGTGAGGCGTTAGTGTCTGACCCAGCCCTGCTCTGCGCAGGAGGCTTCTCGCCGGCTGGTCTAGGCCAGGAGCCTGAGCCTTCGGTCATGCTCCGGACCACAGGCGTCTTTAGGTGAGGAGGGTGGCCTGTGCCCGCTGGCAGGAGGCTCGGCTGCCTCACAGCACTATGCATGTGCTGCTGGGTCAAACAGCTCCTACACCAGGGTCAGCACTGCCTGGGTCAGAAGCAGGAGACACCAGACGCCTGGCGAGTATGAGGAGCCTGGCAGAAGACAGAGGGAGGCAGGACTGGGACTCACCAGCAGCACGGGCCTCAGGCCTTGCCAGACCACAGTCATCTTCAAGGCCTTCTTCACCTTCCAGAGCTGGAGGGAAATCGAGGCGCTGCACCCTCAACATTCTGAGTTGCCAGCACCAGCCACCCAGCCTGCCCAGTCCAGCACCCTCCTGCGTGGCTGCCCTGTTCCTCCAAGGCACACAGTGCAGTAGACAGGGAACGTGCGCACACAGCTTGTGAGGCTGTGCCATCGGGGTACTCCCCACATCATGGAAGCGGCCCAACCTCCCAGAGGGCCTGGGCAGCACCCAGGACTGCACAGCTCAGACTCAGAGCCGCTGCCCAAGGCAGAGGACAAGACACAGCCCCCAGAATCTGCCCAGGAGGCGCAGGACCCACCTCGATGGCAGCCCCGATGCCGGCCGGGACCAGCACCAGCAGGCTTGTCTGCTCGTCCAGCAGGAACAGGAAGATGACCACGGTGCTGAAGCAGCGCCAGAGCACTGGGGACACGGGACGTGATGAGGACAGGGTCACCCACCCCTGCAGCACCCAGCTGCTCCCGACCCCCAGCCCACAGCACTGCATGGAGACCAGAGAGGCGGGCTTAGCGCCGGTGCAGCCCCAGCACCCCCAAGGAGAAAAGAGCAACAGTGGGTAATTACGCAATTCTGGACAACATTTTAGATCAGGAAAAGCTAAAGCTGGAGAGACAGAAGCAGCCCACTCAGACACCTGCTCAAGTGTTGCCTGCCACACAGGAACCTGTGCAAGAAGAGTGGGGCTGGTGACCAGTGGACACCGGCTCTCCTGGGCCCTCTCTCACCCTCTCCTCCACTGCTTGGCTTGCGGTCTTTGATAAGCTGTATTTTCCCTCGAGTTGTATTCTACAATCTACTCCAGTACACTCTGCCTTCTGTGAGGGCCTGGTGTGCAGATGCCTAGTCAGCCCCAAAGAGACCTGTTGACCCCAGGGCCACCAGGGTTTGTCTCTGAGCAAAAGAGCTGCCTTTTATGTCTGATGCCGGCAGCCAAACTCAAAATTTTTTGTGTTTTTGAGACAAGGCCTATTAGCCCGGGCTGGCCTCAAACTCTCAGCAAGTCCCCTGCCTCAGCCCTGCGAGTGGTGGATTATAAGAGTGCGCCCTATGCTGCCTGCTGCTTCTTTTTTTTTAACCATCAAAAAGAATTTCATTTTCTTTTCTTTTCTTTTTTTTGGTACCAGGGATCGAACCCAGGACCTAGCACTTGCAAGGCAGGCACAGTGCCATCAAGCTAAATCTCCAGCCCAAATTTCATTTTCTTGAAGACAGCTGTTTCACACCAAATAATGAGATCCAACAGACTTTGAGCTCCTAATACTATAATGAGCCATTTCAATTTTCCATTTTCTTATGAGCCAATTTTTTTTTTTGGTACCAGGGATCGAACCCAGGTCCTTGCGTTTGGGGGTCAGGCTCCAGAACCACTGAGCTAATTCCCCAGCCCTAGCCATTTATATAATTACATTAAAATGCTAATACTATACTTAACATTTCATTAGTATCTTTAGTAATTATCAATTTCATAAGACACATAAGAAAATAAAAATTTTGTAACAAAACAATGAGAATAACAGTAGTTAATACGCTGTATATGACTGTCTTCAGAGTAGACAAGAGTACAAGACAGACAAAAAAGGCTCTTGTACAAAAGAGAAACAAACAATAGCACAAAACTTTCTTTTTGATGAACTAACAGACACTAGTAGCACAAATAACACAAATTAGCACACATGTTAAATATTGCCCAAACAGTGGAATGCCAGGTAATCTGAAGAGCTGGGCTTCTTCCCATCTGTCTTCCACTGTGTGCTTCACAGCGTGTATGTACACACACACACACACCTCTGAGTTTCTTATATAACAGAAACCACGTGATACTGACTCGTGCGTCTGACTTGTTTAACAACATAATGTTTTCAAGTTGCGCCTACTTTTGTTTATCTTCATGGCACAGCAGGGCTGTACTGTGCCTAACTACCGCATTTTCCATAACCGTTCCTCTGCTGACGGACACTTACGTGGTTTCCAGGATCTAGTCCTGGCTTCTAACTCACTAGGACAGGACTGGGAAGCCCTGCTGGGTCCTTCTCACACCGCGCTCCCGACTCCACTGGCCCAGGCACTGCCCCCTGTGCATCGAGCAGGAGTGGCCGGGCGGCGTGATGGGCCCCGGTTCCTCTCTCCAGGTGCACGAGCGCTGAAGGTCCCAGCGGGGCCCAGGCCAGTGGCCCCGGCCCAGACCGTCTTTCACCCCGGGTTTCCCAGGTTCCCTGTGACCACTGAGACAGCACAGGGGTGGCACAGGTGCCTTCCCAGGGAGAGGAACACAGCCAGGCCACAGGTCCCTGGGAGCCCTCACAGGACGTCAGTGTGGGCCAGATGCTCGGGGCCTACCTGCTTTGGTGGACATTCCGATCATGCTCTTCTTCTTCTTCCAGAAACTGATGTCATTTTTAAATGCCAGAAAATCAAACAGGAGCTGCAAACACAAGGATGGTAGTCTGCATCTTGAGTAGCTCAGGCACTAGTACTCACCAAGTGAGCCTGCAGACAGGCCCAACCCCAGGCCTGGCAGAACACATCGCACCCTGCAGGATCCACCCTGTGCCCGCTCCACACGCCAGGGCCCCAGGAGGTGGAGGGGCCTTGGTGGGTACTGTCCATATCTGCCTGACTCCACCCACCTTTCTTCTACTCCAAACCCTCAGCGCTCACCCTGCACCCGGTGTAACCCACACACCAGCTCATCTTTCAGGGCCCCATGCTTGAGCACACAGCAATACTTATTCCCAACACGGTTAGGGCAGCTTGGGCTTGGTCACCCCACCCGGACAGCCATGCGACTGGCTTCCCAGCACCTGGGGCCTCTGCACAACTGGCTGCACACACAGAATGTCTTCCCAGGTGGAGATCAGCTGGCCTGATATTCAGCAAAGCCACTCTGCAAGGCCATTTGTAACTCTGACTGCCTGAAGTATTTTGTAATTTGAGAATGGCCTCTGAGACCAGCGAAGAGCCCCCTTTTCTGAGCCAGGAGAGACTTTAGGATGACAGCGGCAGGATCTGCATGGGCTTGCTGCTGGACATGGGACGTTGGTGCCCACCCCCAGTGCCTGCACCTACAAGTGCCCACTTACGTGGAAAGCGGCAACAAAGAAGGTCAACGCCAAGAAGTACAAGTTGGTATCCACAAAAATGCCCTTCACCTCGTCAGTGTCCTTCTCTGAAAACCCTGCAAAGGGAAAAGGCACGGACCAGATGCAAAGAAATTGCTGAAGAAAACACCAATGTTGACAGCAGTGAGGATGCACGTGCCCCAAACTAGGGGATGGGGGGTTGAAGTATCATGTTCCAAGTAAGGCAGGTTTCCAGAAAATCCACAAGGTTACTTTCACAGAGGCCATCAGAGATGAGATGCTGAGACCTGGCCAGGGTCGTGGACAGCCCACGCTGAGAGGTGGAGGATGAGGGTTAGTGGCCCCCTAACAGAGGAAGCCAGGGCCGGCACCCACCAAACTGCTGCAGGGAGTACACAGCATCCTGCATGTGGATCCAGAAGCGCAGCCGCCCCAGCGAGATCTTGTCATAGCACACCGTGAGCGGCAGCTCCGTGGCAGAATGGTTGATGACCTGTTGGGACAGCAGCACGGGTGACGACCTGGCCCTGGGAACTGCACACACACACAGGGCCTGGAGCAGCTGTGGCCACAAGCGCTCTTCCTACAGACATGAGGCCCTAGGGGACCCCATGCCACACAGCCCAGTGTGTGGACACTGCTGCTTCCTGCATCCATGCTGGCCACAGTAGGCCTGGCAGGAGCTGACCCCGGCCAGGCCCTTCTGCTCAGAATGAGCCTTTCCCACAGGCTGCTGTCCTAGGCAGGGCAGGTGTTTTGCTGCACCTCCTGCCTGCGGCCTCCACCTGCCTGAGTTCCCCAGGTTCCTGTGACAAGATCCTCTGTCCCTGTGAGCTCAACCCATCGTTCCACATGTGCCCCATGTTTCTCCAGGCCACACAGTCCCAGCACTCCAAGGGATGGGCAGGCCACTAGCATCTGTCCACGGCTGGGCTGACGGGCAGGGTGGGGCAGCCAATGGGCATCTCAGCAGAGTCTGACAGAGCCCGAGATCTTGAGGGGACAGGCCAAGCGAGAGCTGGGGGAAGCTGTGGGGATGGCTCTAGGATGGTGAAAGCTTTAGGAAGAGGCAGTCTTGCACCCATGTCCTGTAGCTTGTAGGGCTGCAGCTGCCCCAGGGTGCGGCCAAGCACGCAAGTGTGCCACATCCCACACACACAGTACAGTATCATCTGATGCAGCTGCCCGGCACATGCCAACCTTCATACCAAGCATCCTGGTGTCTGGGGCATGGTAGACCTTAGAAACTGGTGCCCTAAAACATGCCAGACTGCCAGGCACCAGGCCTACCACCGGGGCTCAGTGCCTGGTGTAGGCACTGCAGATGGGTGGCAGCCCTCTGGGGACCCTTGGGCCACCTGTTCCAGGGGTACCACTTCCCAAGATGGTGCCCCCGCCTGCCAGCTGCAGTGCCCAATAGACATGTCCTCTGCAATGTCATTGTTTTGGGAAGTCAGGGATGTGGTCAAAGCCAGCTGGGACAGGCCTACTCCCAAGTTGGAGCAGGCTGTCCCAGACACTGTGGCTCACGGCTGCTCCAGTGCCAGGCTCCCTCAGGACACAGGGATCCTGCATCTGCTGCCTGGAGCCTCCACATCGGACAGCACCACGGGCAGCACAGGCCCGTTTCCCACAGGCCTTGTGCACATGGCCGGCCATAGGTGGTCCTGGGCTGCATCACACTGTCTCCGCCCCAGGGCCGTACAGTGCACTGCCTGCATGTCCTGGCACAGCCTGTGTGCCCTTGGTATTGCAAACGCACCACAGCACACTCCAAAAGGAGCACAGGGAAACTGAGCTGGGGACAGGTAGGGCTGGGAGTGGCATGCTCACACTGCCTGGCCTATAGGTCACACAAGTGCAGCAGGCACCCAGAAAAGCAGTGCACCCTGCTCAGAGCCCTGGTGTCCAAGCAGATGTTGCAGAGGGTGCTCCCGCATGTGCCCTCCTCATTGGGGACCTCAGCCAGAGCTCAGCCTCCCACTGACCAACCACAGCTGTGAGACAAGGATGGGGCACAGCCTCTGGTGAAGTGCACAGTGGGGTCTAGGCAGGCGAGTGCTATTAAACATTAGCTGTCATCCCTCTTGTTTCCAGGCAAAGGTCATCAGTCCTTCTCCCTTGGGAGTGGCACCCTGGCCACTCTAACTGCCTCTCTCCACCCTCCAGTCTCACCCGAGCCCAGGATCCCCAGCTCCCTTTGGGCTGGGCCCTGCTATGGAGCCAGGCGGGAGGTCAGTTGCTCAGGACACTTCTGAATGGATCCCAGTCCCGACCACCAGAGGAGCTGTTCAGACAGGCCTCTTACTGACGCCCTCTCGGAAAAGGACAGGGCCCAGGACATCAGCCACCCATCTTGCTCTGGGAGGCTGAACGTCCCACCCCATGTAGACACTGTGCTGAGGATGATCCCTGCCAGGACTGCTGGACCCAGGATAGGACAGCTCACCATCAGGTCCTTCACGCGGTTGCTCAGCTGGTCGATGAACAGGATGGGGAGGTAGTGCACAGTCTTCCCCAGCTGGATCCTGGGACCGAAGCAGTGTCCCCGTCAGTGTGCAGACCCACACCCTCGGGGGACTAAATACATCTAGAAATGAGGTCTGGGGAGACACACCACCTCCCATCACGTCTGAGCACACCTTGGGCACTGTTACTCCAGGACACAGCCTCTCCACACGGACATGCAGTGATATATGAAGCTGGGAAGCCCCATGCTAGAGGCACCAGAGCCACGGCCACACAGGGCCTGGGAACCATCTGTGCTGACACAGAGTGACCCAAGCACGGAGTCGGAATAACACTCACATGCTGACCCCTGGGAGAACATGAGCTGCCTGGCTCCAGGCTGGGGACATTGAGGGCTTTTCACCAGGTGGCCCTTCTGTCCCTTTTACACTTTGAATGGAGTGGACAAATTACATGTTCAAAATGAGATGTAGTCTTAAAAAAAAAAAACCCTGTGACAGCATAAGGGCTACTTATGATGACTGAGACCGAGGCCTCATTGTGGCCACCTCCAGAAGCCACATGGCTCGTGCATGGGTCTCGACACGGAACTCCTCGAAAGCAGGAAAGGGGCAATGCACGTCCACCCCCATGTCAGCAGTGACGATTAACACATGGTGCAGCATGACACTACGTGGTGATCTGAAGATGAGTTTTTAAGTACATTTAGGTAAATCAAGTAAATGCCTCCCTGTGCTTCAAGGATCAGGGAGCCCAAAGTCCCAAGTGAAGAGTGACCACACCCAGTCACAGCTCCTGTCCTTGGCCATCTCTGCTGAGGGCAGATGGCAAGAGGCACTGCTGGAGCTTTCACGTTCTCCCAATCTCCAGAGGAACCTTAATAACAGGGACTCAGGGAGGTGGGAAGCAGGGAAGGGGCTGGGGGCTGCAGGTGAGGCCCAAGATGCAGGAGTTACTGGCCCAGGCCTCAGAGGTTCCTCCCACTGCTGCGTCTCCCTTGCCGGGGCCTACGTGATACTCACATCTTCATGTACCGGTGCACATCAGCAGGCAGCGAGGACCCATCGAAGACAAAGTCATCTACCATCACATTCAGTGTCAGCCTGGGCCTCCAGTGAGAGACAGGCTCATCCAGGGCACTCGATGGCTTCTTCTCAGCTTCTATCTGCGGCTATAGGAAACAGATCCACACTGGACAGATGCCCTCAAGGACAGGCCTAGTGAGCCCCCCCCAGGGGGGGCCTGGGGTCCCAGGCTGAGGGTTCCCCCAAGGCTCAGCACACCCTTCTTGCTCCACTGTCACTGTTCAGAGTCACACGGACTCTGCTCTGGGGTCCTCAGACTAAGCAGGCCACCCCTGGAAGTCTGGGGGGCAGAGCCCAGGGACCCCAACTGCAGAATGAGGAGCCGGGTCTGTGAGACCTCTGTGGAGGTACTGCCCAGCCAGCTGCCAGAGCAGTCTGCAAGGAGGTGGGCGAGGACTGGCATCAATTCCAAATAAACTCAGCTCAGAAACCAAGCAGCAGGAAAACCTCACTCATCACAGATGCAGCAGACATGGTCTCAAAGCAGTGCCATGTTACCCTGTCTAAGAAGCACTCACCTGCGGCAGTTTACGTTCCCAGGGTCTTCCAAGAGGCCCGTGTCTCCTCACACACCCATCACTACAACTCACCCCCAGCGACCTCAACACAGGGCCCGCTCTTCACCTGAGACACCTGTGTCCTGATGCTCGGAACCATTTCAGGCTGCTTCCTGGGAGCCACTCCAATTTGTGAATCAGTTCACTCCCACTCAACCCAACGCAGATGAGGATTTCCCTTGTTTTGGCCATGGCCCGAGAATGATCACTTTCATGATTTCCAGTTATTTTTTGCACGTACAGCTAACTGGTAAACACAATGAAACTCACACCTATAGCTTTCGACAGTCTTGAATTGTAAGCTTAGAATAAACGTTCAGCTGTCCAGTCCCATGTATACCACAGCATGAGTGCAAGCCAGAGTAGCAACTACAAAAAGAGGGGCACAGGCCCCTCCTAGGGATGCAGAGGGCCTGTGGCCTGAGAGGACACATGGCTAAAAATGCAAGCCATCATTTAAACAAAATCCCCAACTTGATGTGGAATGTTCAAATTGCTTTACTCTCCAACAAAAATCTCCAAAGCCCTAGCACAAGCTGCCCCGTGGGTCACAGGCGTGCACACTGAGTGGGCGGCCCCAACTCAGAGCCCACTGTGGGCACTCTGTGAGGTTCCTACCTGCACAGCAGTCTCCCCTGTGAGCAGATTGACTTCCTCCGGCTTGGGGATCATGTAGGTGGTCAGAGGACTGACCAGGTGCACTTGCTTCCCATCATGCCAGGGCAGCATCCCAGCGTGATGCAGGAAGATGTAGGCATACAGCGTCCCATTGTTTCGTGTTTTCTTTGGTACAGACACATTAACTGTCCTAAAACAGAGGAAATGGCCTTCTCAAATATGCGTATTACATTCTCTGTTAATACAAACATACACATTGCTCAGACATCTTTAGACACAATGCTGTTGTACCTCAACTAGTTTGAGCTCAGAACTACTAAGTGAAATCCACCTGCCTGTGACTTTAAACGCAGACATGCCCTGAGCATTCTCAGACATGTGGGCAGCTCTAAATGAAGCCAACGACCAGAACCGCTGCCTCCACCTCCCAAGGACCAGACGGGTCACTGATGTGCTAGAGAGGATAGGCAAGCGACCAGCTGGTTTCTACAGAACCAGAAATAATACAATTCAAAACTCACGAGGCCAGGTTCAGACCCCAGGCTCTCAAAGTAAGAGCAACTGTGTGCTGCAAATGCTTCCTTGGCATGATAAGTCATGCTCAGAAATACTCAATGCAGTTGTCTGCTTTCTGTTGTATTTTTTAAAGAAAAGACGGCAGATCACAAGCCACAAGGGACAGACTTTCAAGCCTCAAATTGGCCATGACTCTCAAACCCACTGGAGACAGCTGAAGCACCATGCTCATCCCAAGAACACCTCCTGCTCCTCCTATGACCACAGCAGAGCTTCCTCCTCCCTCTTCCACAACTCCCACAGCTGGAGTTCTGAGCAAGTACAGCTATAAAGAAAAACAGTCAGGAATACAAGATGCCTCACCCAACACATGGGTGGCTCCCCTCACCCCTGGGTGCTGGGCTTTTCTGAAGCCCAAGCGCTTTGCTGGTGTTTCCAGTGAGTGCGTGCATGCTCTGGGGCAGGCTCAGGTTCAGAAACCAAGACCCTTACTATCTACCCTCCCATAATGGCACAGGCCCGGCACAGAGGCAGTGGTCACAACCAGGAAACAGAGCTAGCTCAACGTGGGCAGGTACAGGCACTGACAGGAACTAAACAGACACAGGCCAGCACTCCTCTCCTCAGCTACACGAAACTTCAGGATGGGGCCTAACTTGCTAAGGTCACGGCTAAGCGGCCAGGTAGAACCAGCCTGGCTGACGAGGTCCTGCTCACTCAGTGCATGGTGGCAGCTATCCAGGGAGGACGGGCCACCTAGAAGACATCTGACACCTCTAGGTGGTGCAGACGGTAGAAGGCAGGATCTTAACTAGCAGGTTATTTTTAACTTTTTTGTTGTTGTTGTTTTGTTTTTTTGAGACAGGATCTTGCTATGTAGCCCAGGCTGGCCTCAGAGTCAGAGCGATCCTCCTGCCTCAGCCTCCTAGGCGCCCCCACCACAACTTCTTGATGAACTTTTAAAAGTCAGAATTGTGTGTATTTTGTTTGTTTGTTTGTTTGTTTTGAGACAGGGTCTCACTATGTAGTTGAGACTGACCTGGAACTCACTATGTATTCCAGGCTGGTCTCGAACTCACAGCGATCCTACTGCCTCAGCCTCCCAAGTGCTGAGATTACAGGCCTGCGCCACCACGCCCGGCTCACAAGTCAGAATTGTGTATGAAATGCTAAACGGTACATTAATTTAAAAGTTAACATATGTGGACACTGCCTCATCTTTTCTAATTTTCTACACAAGACTCTTCTCTGCTTTCATTTCTTTTCCCTTACTCCTGACTCAAGAGCACTGCTTCTACCAGGTGGAATGTGACACCTGCTTCTCTGGAGGTTCCCCAGCTGCATGCACCACACGGCCCTCAGGCAAGAGCGAACTACTTCCTAAGTGACAAACCTGCCCTGCTGCTGTCCATCTGATCATGAATGCTAGCAAGAACACGTGGACTAACTCCCACCTTTCAAATTTGGACTCCACGTCAAAGTCCTCTACGTTCAAGACCAGGTCCACGTTGTTCTCGGCACCAAGGCTGGACCGCGTGGTGGTGTACACGCTCAGCTGGAAAGGGTGGCAAGAAAATTAGCCTGGGAGGCACCCGACAGAAAGCACATCCCACAGCTGGGAGGGCAGATGATCTGACAGACCCTGGAGGCAGGGCTCTGGGCTGGGCAAGGGTCTTATGTGTCACATGCCGAAGTGTGAGGGCAGCAAAGGTCACAGGCTATGGGTAAGCTGTGGGGCCCACAGCACAGGGGACCGGGAGGAGCAGTGTCAGCATACTAAGCATGGACACCAGTGACAAGGGACAGCACTTGGAGCCCATAGCACAGATAGGAGAAACTCAACCCACTCTCACTGGGCCACCAGGGCATCAGTTGTGGCACTGCTGATTGATAGGAGCTCAGCGCCCTGACCCCTGCTCCCACTGGGCCACCAGGATATCGGCTGTGGCAGGTGGACCTTGTCTCTCACTGGGGCCGCGGGGCCACCGGCCACCGGGCTGCGGTACTGGTGACAGAGAGAACTCAAGCTGAGGAGTTCTGCCCGCCCGGCCTGGCCCGCGGCGCTCACCTGCAGCTTGGGCCTCCGCGCCAGGTACGGCTGGATGCAGTTGGCGTCGCCGGTGCACGGGCGAGTGTAGACGATGCCGTACATGACCCAGCAGGTGTGCACCACGTATACCACGAACACGCCCACCACCAAACTGGTGAAGGAGCTGCGGCCGCTCCACATGGCG